TGCTAAACAGATAAGAACAAATACATCTTTTATGAACAACTGACTGTTCACAATCACAGACTCATTTCTGGAAGCGTTTTGTTTTACCCACAGATTGTACCACCTTTGGACAAACTGCCAACTGAATCAGTACAAGAAAGCAGCTGTTTCTACCTGCCTACTGAATCAGTACAAGAAAGCAGCTGTTTCTACCTGCCTACTGAATCAGTACAAGAAAGCAGCTGTTTCTACCTGCCTACTGGACCAGTACAAGAAAGCAGCTGTTTCTACCTGCATACTGGACCAGTACAAGAAAGCAGCTGTTTCTACCTGCCTACTGGACCAGTACAAGAAAGCAGCCGTTTCTACTATTTCATTTTTATCACAGCATTAAAAAATGTATCTTAGGAACAGACAGCATAGTAAGTTGTCAACATCAAAGAAAGAAGCTTTGGCCAAGGCTCACGAGGCTAGAAAAGCCAAAGCGTCCACACCTGGCTCTACCCCTAACAGACAGAATAGTAAGTTGTCAATATCAAAGAAAGAAGCTTTGACCAAGGCTCGTGAGGCTAGAAAAGCCAAAGCACCCTCACCTGGCTCTACCCCTTCGGCATCAACTTCTGATACTGTCACAGAAGCCATCAGTTTGCCAGTTTCAGCCTCCAAGAGAAAGCTGGAACTTTTTGAACCAGCAGATATTAAACCTGCTTCAGGTTTGGGGGTTTAGATAGTAGACTTGAGACAGCTCAGTCAACTGTATGCAGCCCTTACCTGTAAGCAGTGTAATGGCTCATTGAGCCTTGTTTTAAAAAATCGCAAGGGATTCATACACACTTTAGACATTTCTTGTCCATTGTGTGGAACTGTCAATGCTACAGTAAATTCCTCTGGGATCAGTTCCAAGGAGAAAACATATGACATAAATAAAAGAATGGTGGCTTAATGGATCACTTTTGTGAGACCATGTCCATTGAAGGTATCTCTGAAAAAACATACAAAAATTCTTACATCCATCTCTGAGGATGATGAGAATTTTTTCCAGTCTACGTTGGGCGATGCAGTCACACTGGTGTGGAAAGCACACAAGGTTGATGACAGTGACCAAGTGTTGGACGTGAGTTTTGATGGCTCATGGCAGAAGAGGGGCCACACGTCCAGTCCAGACATGGCGTTGCTGTTGTCATTGAAGTCACCACTGGACTAGCTATAGATTATCATGTCATGAGCACATTTTGCCATGCAAGTATTACTTTATTATATTATTGAAATTTACACTTAACTACTAACCAGTCTAGACATGGCGTTGCTGTTGTCATTGATGTCACCACTGGACTTGCTATAGATTATCATGTCATGAGCACATTTTGCCAAGCAAGTATTACTTTATTATATTATTGAAATTTACACTCAACTACTAACTATAAGTGTTACTTTTGTAAAATCTCATTGTTAGTATTGTTCATGTTATAAAAATATTTACTTTTATAGGCATGTGCTATTACTGGTGCTGCCAGACGAGGTCCGGCTGAAAAAAACTGCGCTACACTACCATGGTTAGTGATGGCGACAGCAAAACATATGTGACAACGTGAAGATCTACAGCGGTCAATTGTCTGGTGTGAAACGCATGGGTGCATAGTGACCGACGTTATCTTGAACGTCGAGGGGTGGTACGGAGTCCAACTCGGATCTTATGGCTCTAGGGAGATGATAAGGGAGGGCGAGACTAGCCTATAAATGAGGAAGGGTGGCTGTGTTAAGGTCTCTTACACACATAGCTAGGGCTAGAGGCTAGTCAAGGCCTTATGGTAGCAGCAGCCTTAGGACTGGCTCAGCTGATGTATGGCCTGGTGTTTACACCAGCGGCCCAACGTCCTGTTCCTTTATATATGTGCTTTGTTCGAGATGTTAACATCTGTGACCTGATGTTTAGACCAGTGGCCAAACATCTTGTCCCGGTATATGTGTTCTTCGTTCAAGTGGCCATTTTATATGCGACTGATGTTTGTACCAGTGGCCAAACGTTTTGTTTCTGTGAATAGGTGCTTCGTTCCGTAGAAAAATAAGAACTAGGGATAATGACATTTACATTGGTGACTCCGAGATTACACAAGCAGTGCAAGTAGTGAAGTTAGGACTAGAGAAAATTACATTTATCTGTGTGCATTCTGAGTTGCGTAAATGTAGGGTTACAACTTACACTTATGTTTTTTTATGAATTAATGTGGGTAACCAAGGTGAATAATTCTGTATGGAGATGTAAGTTTAAGGATTTTTTGTCTTTTTGATTTGTATTAGGAATTCAAGTGATGTTTTCTTGAATATGAAAGACTGGCCAGGTCTTACCTGTGTTGTTTCTTTTGCTTTTAACATATATATCTTTGTGACGTCAAATGAAGATAAATAGTTTTATTTTTAGTTAATGTTAATGTTGTATTAGTGTGAAGTAATTGGTTTTGCTCAGGTCTATTAGACCTTCCTGTTTCAACGGGAATGCCACGGATTAGAGAGAATAATTACAATTACCATCTCTCTCTCAATCGGGTAACTCAATTCCCCCATCCCCTCATAACACATATAAAAAAATATAAATAACATCTTTTAAATTTCTACACAGTTCAAAATTAGCCAGCTAACTAAGTACTATAGAAAGTACTATAAAAAGCAAATGCTGCAGCACTGTGGAGCTGAAAAGGCGCATAATAAGCAGTTTTCTGCATGCCTTGTCAACAGACGACAAGCCACAGCATCAAGACTGTCCAGCTGGAAAAACATAGTGGTGCATTTGGCAAAGGGCAATCGACAAAACCAGAGTGTACTCTCCCATGTGGGCAAGAGCTCATAATTTCTTGGTGAGCATGTGAAACATGTGAGGGAGGTGTATGAGCGGCTCACAGCTAAGGCACTTCTTAGTTGCTGCCTGAAGGGACTAACCCAAAATGCAAATGAGAGTTTGTATCCCAGTTTTTGGGCTCGCTGCCCAAAACATGTGTTTGTTGGTAAAATGAGGATGAAGATGGCTGTTGCTCTTGCTATAGGGGAGTTTAATTCTGGAAGCATTAGCACAGTCAATTTCCTTGCAGCCATTCGATGCCAACAAGAGCCAGAAGGAGAAAAGAAAGGGAAACAGAGGGATCGCAGAAGGATAGTGCAGGCAGAACGGAGGGCAAGTGCGTAAACAAATAGAAGAATGGAGATGGCTAGTGCTAATGCTAGGGCTGTTAACTGTTCAGGAATTGGAGGATAAAGAAGGTGGTCCATGTACTCTAAGGGAGCCTTTTCAGTACATTTTTTTTAGTTTCAAATGTCAAAAGTGACAGCTCTACTTTTAATGTTATAGTTGTACGAAATTAGGCACATAGCTGTTAACCATGGACTCTAGTTTTATTGATTGTCCACACAAAAAGTTATAAACAGGTTAAGTTGGGTAGAGTAGTCGACCATAACAAAGGAGCTAGGAAAAATGGAAGGCGTCTTCAATAGAGATAGGGTTCTACAGGACCATATTGTTGTTGAGTTGGCTTGACACGAGTACAAAAGAGGATAATTTTTTAGCCAGTCTAGGATTATGAGAAAGGATATGGGTGGAAATTACGCCGACAGGCTTATCGCACAGGCTAGTTTCTGATTGGTCATTAATTCGCCGGGCTTTGAATCTGATTGGTTGCTGCCCTATTCTGATTGGTTGTTTTGTGTTGGTGTCTGCCAGATATGTACCTATACAAGAAAGTGTTTTGCGCTTGTTTTTCAGTTCTACTAGCATTGACGATGGCGAACTTAAATATTCTTCAATGTAATGTATTGTATGGCAAGAAGTAATGCAACCTAACCAGCAAGGGAAAATGTAGCAGTCAACAGAAGGGCAAGTATTTTTCAATCAATAAAAATGAATGGCATAACCCCAGGGGATACAATTAGATGCTTAATAAAAAGAAAAACAGCAAGAGTAGATGAAATACTAATAGAAGAAATATTGACCACCAAACTTAAAATCACACACAAGCAGATAGTCAATGTGTATAACCTGGGAAGACTGATTGAATGGTATGTGACTCAGAGGAAATTTACAGGTCCCTACACATGAGAGAAGTAGCCAAAAACACAACCATCTGTAGCAGTATCCTACTACTACACCTAGACAAAATTTGGTCAAAGTGCCCCCCCCCCCCCCCCCCCAACATTCACACAAAAAATAGTCATGGACATGGTAAGTAACCTGAGCCAACCAAATGAAACCTGCGTCACAACCAAATTAGGTACAGGAGACAGGTAGGCGATTGATTTCCTGTCCATAGCGCCATACTTATTGTATATAAAGTAAACCATACTAAGCGGCTAGCATGTACAGCTAATATCACTGATACAGCAGATTAGTCGGATAGGTTAGGTATTAAGAGCTAGATATTCTTTCATGGTAACTATATTTTAGGTGGATGATGTATTTAAATTCTATTAAACAATTGCTAGATGTTTGTTCCTTAATGCTCTGTATTTTTGTTTACAACCCCTACTAAATCTAAAGGAGAGGTAAAGGGGTGCATAACCATATGTTTAACTCCAAGTTGGAACCAGTGAAACAACAAGCCTTTAAGAAGCAAGCATGATAGTGGGTCATCAACAACCTACTACAAGATTTAAATTATTATTTATCCAACTAAAGGCTTTTAGAAAATTCATCAGCCAAAATAGCATCCATTTTGATACAGGGGATGGTGTATTTAGATGAAGGGGGGAAAATGGTGTTCTTCTTGACAGTAAATTTAATCTAAAATAGTGATTATTACACAAGCTAAATAGAGCATAGAGTCAATTACTAGGCAAGGGATAGTTCTTTACAATAGAACGTAGTAGAAAAATTGTGTTTAACATAAAAGACAATGATAAAACCTATTCCTTCAATTTAAATTATTGAGAGGAATAAAAATAAATAAAAAGGGACTTCCTAATACAACATAATAGAAATGAAAAAGGAAAGTGTGCCTGTTTGCTATTTGGGCCTAAAAACTAAAACTGATAATATTAATGAAAGAAAATGTATAATAAAAAATTAAAAGAATCAAATACTATACAAATTTACAATTATATACACAGTTCATGCTTTAGTACCGATAGTCTGATTTCTTAATTTAAATGCGTATAAAACTAAATCCAATGTAGCTTTCTTTACCAAATTCACTAATTAGAAAACAATGATTAACTATAATCAACCTCAGGTTCTAAGTTTGGGTTATCTTTATCTACCAACTTTAAGCAAACATCTGCGAATTCTGTGAAGATCGGTTCCTTCATGGCAGCAGCCATCAGCTCCTCTGGACTATCTGTGTTCACCAGGTTTTCCATCATTGCACGTAGGTGGGGGTTGCTAATGATGTTTTTCAGTTCTATACTTTCCCCTAAATTGTTTGAATTTACAACAAAAAATATTAAGTTAATTTGAACAATAAGTTACATATGCACACACACAAAAAACAAAAATAAACAATGCATTAATTACTACAATTTTTCCTTACAACTGTTGGATTGTACTTTAAATAATACAGATGAATTGCCTTTTTTTCAGAGTAAAACTGTTGCAAGATAAACCACAACAAACCTAATTTCTTCAATAGCACCTCAGGAACTCTGTCGTCATCAACATTGCGTACCTCACTTTCAAAAGCGGCATGAACTTTTTGTACTGAAAAAAATATGTAGTTCTAAAGTACTAGATCAATTACAAAAGAACATTAAAAATATATCACTAGAAAATGGTAAAAAAGGTATGCATGGTGGTGGTAACAAATGTCTACTCATAGCACTTTTTAACAAAGAGATGCCTAGATACCAATCTTCTCTGGGAAAGTAAAAGTAATCAGGAGTAATAAAAGTTGTTGGAATGGTTTCAATAAAGATTTAGATACAGCTCAAGGTTTAGACTAGACTGAGCTTACCATATGGAATAGGAACAACAGGTTCAGACAGCGGTTTCGTTTCTTGCAGACCCTCTTTAGGCTTCTGAGCACAATTCACTAAAAAATGATACATTTTTATCTATTCAAATTTTTTTTTAAAATTTAAATATACACATAGCTAATGAAGGCTAACAACGAGGCCTAGGGGTAAAGCTCATGGTTGCTTAACCCAAAAGTCCTGAGTTCAAACCCAAGGGCAGATGAGGCTAATTAGCTGGGACAGAAACTGCTCCTGCTGCCTTATAGGCCTAGTTAGTTTGTCCTCCAATTGACAAAGGATATGGAAGCAAATCCAAACAGAAAAGCAGACTGAAATCCAGTCTGTATGGCCCTTAACAGGTTGACCATCTATATATATAATTCTCTTCTGGGAGACGTTAGAAAACAAGCTGCAAGCGCCTCCTTGCAGTCCCCTCTATTTCTCTCTATCACTATCACTACCACCCCACCCGGTCTGGTGAGTGGTGGTCACGCTAAATGTTTACAAATATTAGAGCCAGGTTTAGTGACGGCTTTTAGGGGCAGATAATTTAGTTTGAAACGTTTTTAAACTTACAGGAGGTAACTAAGAGGAGGCTGCTTTCACGGGGAGGGGGTGTGTAGGGTCGGGGTAAGGAGAAGGGGGGGTAGTGTTTTAAAGCAAATATTTTCAGTGGCAGCATTGGTACTGTCGAATTCACAAATTATGAATTACTGAAAAGTAGAAAATAAAACAACTAAATAGCGGCGTATGATATGCCGCGGGTCGGCTCGTAATATTTAATTGTGTTGGAGGAAATCCCCAACCACATTATTAGAACAAAGAAGAAGTAGGCCCATATAATAGTTTTTGATAAGGCTGCCAATTATTGGCACATTAAAAACAAAAATGTTTCATTAGGCCTATACTTCATTAAAAGTTAAATAAGTTAGGCATATAGGCCTGGCCTAGTAATAATTATAATCAATAGGCCTACCTTTATGGTCTTTACAACATGCCACTGAACAGCTGTGAAAATAGAAATGTAAACATTTTAAACAACTTTTTTTTTTATTTGAATAGATCTAGATGGCCTATAGGCTAAAAATATTACCTACAATTAAACTAAACTTTACAAAACACTAGATCTAGTCTTAAGTCTAGCTGGGAGAATATTTATACCGATGTCCAATAATGGAATCCACTTTAAAAAAGGGGTGTGAGGTTACTGGTAGTTAAATAAATACACACATGGTTGGCTAGTATCAATGCTAACCCTGGTCCTACCATATGCCTAACCCTATAGTAATTTCTAACCATAAAATTAGTCGAGATTACAATATTACTAACAACCCAACACCCCTTTTCTAAAGAAGATTCCATTATTGGACATGTATCAATATAGATCTAGGCCATAGGGCCTATCTACATCATTAATCATCCCCTAGGCCCTAGACCAGGGGTCTTCAAACTTTTCAGCCTGAGGGCAGCATTAACTATGATACTATCAGATGGGGGGGGGGGGGGGGGGGGCAGAGTTTCTTCAAGGCATCTCTTAGGTGTTATGGAGGGTAAACGGAAAAAAAGTCACAGGAAAAAAAACACAGAAAAAAAGTCACAGTGGAAAAAAAATTTTGGAAAAAAAGTCACAGAAATAAAGTCACAGAAAAAAAGTCACAAAAACATTTTTAGAAATATTTTTTTTATTTGTTTAGAATTGTAAAATTTTGTATGTTTCTTGTTGTGGGTTGTATTTTTTATAGCATAAATTATTTATAGACGTTAAAGCATTATGGTTTATAACAATTGTAAGTAAAACTACTCTAATATATAATTTACACAACAATCTCAACTTTTGTTACGTAGGGCCTACTTAGTTAAAAACGCGGTAGAAAATTTAACTATAAAAAAATTTAGGCACATTTTGCCGTAGGCTATTCTCTGGTCGGCCTCTCCTCAGTAGGCATTGTCCGAACATATTTTGTGTTGTTGACGTCATGCGTCAATGACAGCATTTGAACCTTGTCGGCTTTCTTTTTTGATCCTAAGTGTTGTTATGTAATGAGCGTGATAAATGTGGGCAGTAAAGGTGGTTGAACTAAACATCTAAACATTACTATTGTGACCATGAGTTGAGGGCAGCAAGTCAGACGAACTTACCATTTCACGGTAATTTAATGTTGGTATTTAAAAAAAAAACAGGATTAAAACCGTGGACTTTGGAGCATTCTATTAAACGCTACTAATCTTAAGTTTAAAATAATTACAATCTACATACTTCATAGTATGAAGTTCATACTAAATATTTTTAGAAAATTCCTATGCGTATACAGCCTACACACATTACATTACATTTAATTAATCCTGAGTTAATTTGCACTCTCTGAATATTTAATACATAAAAGTATTAGGCCTAACAAGTATCATGCAAATATAATATATTTAATATATATTTGTGACTTTTTTTCCTGTGACTTTTTTTCTGTGTTTTTTTTCCTGTGACTTTTTTTCCTACAATCGTTATGGAGCCCCCCCCCCCCCCCCCCCCAACAAAATATAAAAATTCCAAGCGCACCCTCTTCTCCCCCCCCCCCCCCCAGGAAAATATTTGTAAGAAATCTGTAGCTAGTCTCATAACGCGAGTTGAATTACCTCCCCTGACCCGCTTTTTTATGGCCACTTTCTAGTTCGTTTTTTTCGATCGCGTCTCGGCACTGTTGCTAAAAATAGCATTCGCGCAATACCATACGGGTAAATCTGTTTGGCGCCTGCTACACGTGATAGATCGTTGAATGGCCGACAAGCTGATATAAAAATTATTGCGACCGGATGCGATTTTCGTGGAAATTGAGCTAGATTTAGCAAAAGACAGCTATATTTGTGTAAAATATTATTATTTATACTTCTACTTACACAGATATTTTGATAACTGCAGTTCAGCCGTCCATTTTTCTTTTAAAATGTATCTTTAGAATTTCTGTACCTTTTGGCAATCGGTCAGGAGCATTTGCGCACTAAACCCACCCCCCTACGGCAGATCCGATTTTTTTCCCAGTGAACTCGTACTGACCTCCCACATAGCTAAGATAGTACATTGATACTGATGGGAAAGCCTCTAAATCTGTATTCCTTCTAGAGATCTAGAAATAAATCTAGATCGTGGAGTTTTTATAATGACTTTTAAATTGAATGTCTCCAGTTTACGATATTTTTTTTTCAAAACATAGCTACTTTTAGTACTATATTTAAGTATTTCAAATCCTTTTGGTAGTTTTTTCTTAAACTTAGACCTAGATCCAGTGATTAGATATCTATATTTTGTACTTATTACTTGCAGGCCTATTAAAATAATAATAAAACAGTTTGCTTGATAACTTCATTAGGTCATTTCATAAACACAAATGTTATAAACATATAAAAATCACAAAACCATACGTAATATCTGAATTCTGTAGCCTACCTTACATTTAGGCTAATACTGAATTAAAAAGAAATTACATTAAGGTTTGAAATTAATACAACTTGTAATTAAGAAAGAAAGCTTCAGTTCTAAATACTACAAGATACAAACAATGAAACAAATTCAAAGCTTTTTTCAACCCATTTAGTCGAAAAGATTTTTATTTTTTCCGATATTGACCAAAATAAGTTTTTAAAGCTTAGGCCTAATGTTTTTACAAACATAACTCAATTTTATTAGGCCCCTGTAAACATTAATTAAGATTCCTCTGTAGACAAAGCAATCTATTTGGCAGATGAAGTAGAGTTCATGTTTCTTGACCTCGGCATATGAATGAAGTGATTGTCCGTGTGGTCAGCGATATTCACAGCCGCCTTTACTTTTTAACTTTAATTTCCCCAATGTATATCAGGTACCCATCAGAAATGGGTGGACTCTAATTGAATTTTATTAAACAAACATTTTGATATAGGCCTAGATCTATAACATTCTAAACATCTGTTCTGTAGAATTTACCTTTCTGCTTCCAAATGCAGTATTTTCCAATTGAAAATTCATCACAAAACATACAATAAATTATATAAATGGCATTTTATAAATTTATATAAACTATTTACTTTCACCTTGGTGTAAAAAAATGTAGGTATAAGCAAACTGATTTCAATAGTAAGAAAGAATCATGTCTTTTCTTGCTTACTAGCTTTAAAACAAGTGAATTTGACTTTTTACCTGCGTTTTTGGTCGCGTTTCTAAATATTTTATTTGCGACACTAAAAAAATTATATTTAATCAACCGATTATGCTAAATTAATAAAATTGGTACTGTTGGATTGCATTTTTAAAGCTCTACAATTAGAGCAAATTACACTGTCCGGACACACACCGCGAAAAACGCAACTTAAAACTTCCATGCGGTCTCATTCAGTAACCGCTTAACATAGGAAGGAAAAAAAAGTATCATATCTATCCGCAATCATTCTACTTTAATAATGTGTGTGTCATTTTGTATTCATACGCATAGAACTTTAGCTATTCTTGTTATAGTGACTGGGGGGTCTTAACGTGTGTTCGGACACATGTAATACAATTTCAAATGTGTTCGGACACCTTTACCCGTCATCGGACAAAGCACTTTTTGTTCATTTAGAATAATTTAAAGTCAATTTAATGAATAAAAACATATATTATATGCATTTATATTGTGTTATTGATTGTTTGTGAGGTAATTTTAATAGTATAAAACCTTTTTCCCACACTCCCAAAGTTCATCCCATTCAGCCATTGCGGCTCGCGCAGTACACTGCTAAGCCAGCCAGGTCACATGATTCCCCCTCCTCTTTCGCATTCCACTGCCTTCTTGACCTTATTTTGACCCTTTCCCTTCAATAACCAGCCCCTTTTATGATCTAAATTCTTATTTAATAATATTTTTGTGTTGCTGTCCGGTCCCATGTAAGGTCAAAAAAGTTAGCGAACACCCCTTTTTTATTGTTCAAGCACAAAATAACCCATTAACCTTGACATTTACGATGTTCCATACATATATAGAAGCTATTTATAGTGTAACCTTTTAGCTAAGCGTTGATTGGTTCAAGTTTTGCCCCTAAGTCCAACCCTAGGTCACTTCATCCGGCTGGTGTAAAAATAGAAATGTGCGTACCATGCAACGTTAAAAATTTTCTAAAAATAATTCTTGAGAGAGGAAACGGAAGTACTTGACACGGAAGTGTTCATAAATGAACAGTTTACGTGCAGGCGCTGTGGTTTCGCATGAGACATGCTAATTAAAGTTTCTATGAGCCAAAAACCGACGAAGTGTTCGGTACCATGTAGTGTTCGGACAATGTAATTTGCTCTAGATCTATATGCTATTCTTTTTATAATTTGAAGAAAATTGAATTTATATGAGACTAACTAAAATCTGTAAGAAACACTGTCGTGGAACGACAACACACTACTGCACTAGACGTCTAATGAACACAAGCAGTTGAGAGGTGGAACATTACATTTTTTTTTAAATGGCGAAACGTGCTTGCATTTTTCACCCATTTAAAAATAAAAATAAAATTAACTTACTATCTCTCAAGACATAGAGGACACTTGTATTTTGTGGTCTCCACACAGCAAATAATACATTTCGACATCTTTGAAAATTAATACGTATTTAGATCTAGATTTCTAGATTAGGCAGGCCTAATGCAAGTTTTGTAAACAACTCACATGTGTGATGTAGGCTAGGCCTAAAACTAAAACCAAGTCACACGTGTTAGACCCTAGGCCTAACTAACGCGCATTGGCCGAGTGGGAAGCAATTTCCGGGTCAAGTTTTTAACAAACCCATTAGGCCTACTTTTTAAAAATGGACAGTCAAATGGCCAAAACACCGCCTGACGTTAGAAAATAATCATTACAATGCTTTAAATTAATAAATTTGGAGTACTTGCTCTAGATCTGGACCTATAATTATAAATAACGCCTAAATAGTGTATTTAGAATTTAGAAATCAAGAATAAGCTTAATTTAACATTAGGCAATAATATTATAATAATTATTAATTTTCTAGAATCTAGACTAACTATATAGATCTAGTCTAGATTAGATCTTCTAGACTAGATTCACTAGATCTAGATCTAGATTTTCTAGATCTAGATTTATAGATTATTTCATTATTATAGATCTAGTGTCTAGACCAGGGGTCTCCAAACTTTTCAGCCCGAGGGCCGGATTAAATATTAGTCGGGGGGGGGGGGGGCCAGAGTGTCTTCCAGTCATCTCTTCGGGGTGGCAGCTCCTCCCCCCCCCCCCCCCCCGAAGAACGTCTTCCCCCTCCCAACGATATTAAATTTATATATAACTTTCACACAACTTATCCATCTTACTGCTTTGAATTATGGTAATTCTTGCGATTCTGTGTTTGTGTCTTTCAACATGTCTCTGAACTATCTATGGATGAGCCAATGTCAATGTGAACTTATTAAATTCACCATCATCAACACAAGATTCAATACACTGCTATAATATAATGTCCACATATTTAGCACACAAAGCTTGCTGGTGAATAATACAGTGCAGGAACATTGGTTGTAGAATGTTTTTCTCATTCGCTTGTCCAACCAAGTCTTTCTTTATGACACTCATGTGCTTTCCTCCATCAACAGTCAGGTAACAGAAGTTAGTCCAGGCCAAGTTATAATCAGCGAATTTTTTTTAACTCATTGAATATATCCTCTCCGGTAACAGTGTTATGTAGGAAAGCCAGTTCTTGTCTTATTTTCTTGTCTTCATCAACATCTCTAATGAACACTAGCAGTTGAGAGGTGGAACAGCTGTCCAGCGACTCATCAGTTGCAATTGAAAAATAGCGAAACTTGCTTGCATTTGATTCACAAAGTTTTCATCAATGTCTGCAACACGGTTGGCAATGCTACATTTTCAATTTGTTTTGAATTTTTCCTCAGCCACCTCCAACAAACATTTTTTTCGTTGACAAAAAGATCTTCGCGGGCCGGATGAGAGGACCTCGCGGGCCGCATACGGCCCGCGGGCCGTAGTTTGGAGACCCCTGGTCTAGACCTAGAATCTAATTCTAGATTTCTAGATCTAGAATTCTAGATCTAGAAATCTAGAATCTAGAATTCTACATCTTCTAGTTTTACTTCTCTAGTCTTCTCCACTTCTTCTTTCTAGATCTAGATCTAGTAGATCTAGATCTCTAGCTATTGATTTAATTTTTTTAATGAAGTTTTAGTTTAGCTAGATATAGAATATATACTCATATAGATCTATTTAGATCTCTAGATCTAATATTCTATTATTACTTATTACTTTATTAGTTCTAGATCTACATCCACGTGAAAACCAAATTTTGCTTTTTATATTTTATTTTTATTTAGTTACCGAAAATATTAAAAACATCAAATACATCCAATCTTTAGTAAAGTCCGAAAAAAACCAGTCAGACAGGATTTTATAACCATATTGCTTTTTATATATATAGATTAATTGTAACTACGCCGTGCAAGATTTTTAAATTAATTTATGGACCTCTCAAATAACTTTGAGACTTTTCTCGCTGGTGTCCATTAATTCCATGAGGCCTATTACATTTTAATATATTGAGCTAGAGCTAGGCTATTATTTTTATAAATTATAGGCCTAAAATATTTTATTTTAGGCTTTGTTAGAGTAGGTACACAGTTGTTTAAGACAGTGATTTAAAAAACTTCCAATTATAATTTTTTAATAGATTATAATATAAAACTCTAGAACTAGTGAGGCCACTGCCTCATCAACCAACTGAAGTGATATAATTCTCATGGATACACTAACTCAGGTGTCTTCTTCTTCCTTCTTAATTGTAAAGTTGGGAGGTATTTCCTCCATCATAGCATTTGTACAACCAAGAACAAACTACTACGAGTCAGCAGTTTTTATATTCTGGAGTTTTCTCTCCTAGATGGGTTGATATCCAGTTATTGAGTCACATCTACCTGCGGGTTTACATTTGGATCTTTATGATTTAGAAACAACGAGCTTTACCGTCCCAACCATGCTTATCCCACTGGGATGTCAACTTTAGGCTGTTTACAGTCTCTCTTTTCTTTGACCTAACAGCGTCTACCTTTCTGTATATAAAAGCAAACTCAGGGACCCAAGGGCCCTTTCGCATGAACATTAATGTTGAGAAATTATTTATATATTTTTTTTACTTTATTTATGTTTGTGATATACAGCATTATTAATTATTATTTGCTGAGAAAATTGGGGAGGGGGGCTATTCAAAGTTCAAGATGGGTAAATGCTAGTGTTTACAGTACACTATGATGTAGGGAGATTTTAAAACCAGCTTGGATTGTGAAAATTACTTTGGCAATCAACCCATTTCAGTAGGCCTGCTTTAATTAAATTATCTAGACTACATACTTTTGAATTGCATCTTATTTTTTCTAGGTCTTGGTATTTTCTTATCATGGATGATACAAGAAAAAAAAAATGAGTAGGCCTACATCAATGAAAGATCAAAGTGCAAGAATTTATTTTACTACATAGGCTACTACAGGATATTAAACATTCAACGTAATGCTTCTCAAAGAGTGTGTTAAACCTTTATTGAAACACTGTCACATTAAGAACTCTGTATCACAGTTTATAGATCTTTATTCCCACACTTGGATTAATACAAGTTAATTCAAAACAGGTTTATTTAAATACTCGAATGGGTAGGCTTTATTTATTTTTTATTTTATTTATTTATATAAAATATTATGATAGCCTACATTTTTTTAAGGCTTTTAATGTTAAACTGTAGGGTAGAATATTAAAATAGATTTTTTTTCAAGATGCAGACTAGATCTAGAACATAACTGCTGTGTGTTAAGTTAGCCTTTGAAAAAAAAATATTATTCTTTTTGCAGGTACATTAATAAATGGTTGTGCAAGGCAGTTTATTAAAAACGTATATTTCTGGAGTGTAAATTCCAGTCTGCCCTTGTTAAGAAAAAGAAAACTTCTTCACTCTACTCAAAGCGATTTTCACATGTTTTGTAAATGCATGCTTATGAAAAACCAACAGAGGTATGGAACCTCGGTCGATCCTTGCAACTTCACAAAGTTGAGCACATCCGTCACAGACACATGGACAAAAACTGTGACAGTGTCACTCCCTCAAAAACATAATCCAGGGAAAAATCTTCCCTTCAGAATATCAGTTTTAGACACATTTCCTGGTGTAGCAGATGAGAATAAACCAACAGTTGTAGCTATTCATGGCGTTCCCAACACCGGCAAGGTCTATCAGTCTCTGGCTACACAGCTGTACAATAAGGGCATTAGACTTGTGGCACCCACAACCTTTGGTAAGTTAAGGCAAGTTCTTGCAATTTCTTGCTACAAAGCTATACAATAAGGGCATTAGACTTGTTGCACATACAACCTTTGGTAAGTAAAGGCAAGGTCTTGCATTTCTTGCTACACGGCTATACAATAAGGGCATTAGACTTGTGGCACCCACAGCCTTTGGTAAGTTAATTCAAGTTCTTGCAATTTCTTACTACACAGCTGTACAATAAGGGCATTAGACTTTGACAAGGAAAGTAAACAAGGTCTTGCAATATCTTGCCACACAGCTATATAATAAAGGCAATAGATTTGTATCTGACAGTTTTTCTTGGCACAAATTTATAACAAGGGAATAGCTTTGGGGGCTAACACAAAGCTTGTCTTTGGTTGGACTCAGGGATATCCTATGTCCTCAAACAGTTTTTAGCATTTGTAATAGTGCACTTATTCTTGCTGTCCCACCAAACACATTATACAGAAAACTGATGACTTTTAGTTTTAATCAACTGTTACTTGCAACTTACTTAAAATGAAAGAAAAAAGATAATTTTTAATTGTTGTATTGTTTGTTTCACTAGGTATGGATTTTTATTTTTAATTGTTGCATTGTTTGTTTCACAGGTATGGAATTTAGTCAAGCGGATGTCAAACATATATCAAACATAGACTTTACAACCACAAATAGAGCTTATGCTACACAACAAGTCCTCAAAGAATTGAACATCAAAAAGTAATAAGCAATTTTCATGGTATTTTATTTAAAAGTTAGCCTAAGCTTAGTAATATTTTATTTTTATTGAAATAGAATATGTTTTGTTGATACTATGATAGGCTCTTCTCTGGGTAGGATTTAAATAGTGCATACGTTGTGTTAAAAAAAAAAGAGAAATTATGTAAAGTTGATAGGATTTTCTGCAATATTTGTGTTTGTAAAATAATTATTGTTTGATTTAATATGTGTTTGATTAGTTTTTCTCTTTAATACATTTCCTCTTTACTTTACAAATGATGCACACATAATTGTGCAGGGACGTGGGTGGTGTACAGTGCAAACTTGGGTAATGTATGTGCTCTAAATTGTGTGCTTGTTTTATGTAGAATTGATGTACTGGTAGGACATAGTGCAGGATCATGGGTGGTCTATGAAGCTGGTGCAAATTGGGACAATGTTGGTGCTCTAATATGTGTAAACCCAACAGGTGCAACGGCAAACAGGTAGGCATTTACGGCAAACAGGTAGGCATTTAGCTAAATTTGCATAATCTATAACATCTTTTAATCGTCATCTTTTCATATTCAAACCCAAGACATATAGGGCAGATGAAGTAGAGTGCATCTGTTTCAATTATCTCAGCATACAAGGAGATAATGTTGTCAGCACTATGCCCAGCCACCTTTGTTTACCTAACGTAATTCAGATACCTATCAGGGCTGGGTGGACTCAGGGAAGTCCTATTGTCACAATTCCAAACTGAGATCCAAGCTCGAGATCCTCGAGCTAGCAGCCAAACGTTCTACCTATTGACCACGCTAAAGTAATTTAACACTGGCCATGAATATCATTAATTATGTAAAGTGGTAAAATGTACTTTTATGCAGTTTTGATCCTCTAAGCCAGGGGTTCCCAAACTTTTTTTACTCTAGAGCACATTCTAAAATATCTGTAGGGTGGCGGGCACCACCTATTTTAAATCGACAAACTCCTTCCAGAGGCGTATTGACCCTTTCCGGCGCCCGGGAACAAAACTTTCGATTTGCACCGCCCCCCCCCCCCCCCTCAAACTTTCAATTTCCATCCCCTTCAACCTTTCAATAATGTTTATGAAAAAATTCTGTCTCTGTCGAATAGTGAGAGGCGGGCACATACGAATCGTTCGACAATGACACAACTTATTGTTTATAAATGTTACAACAAGGCTAAGCATTCAAGATAAAGTATAGAGCTATATTTTGTTCCTCAATCTATCAATGCTGTAGTCTGATTTGTTTTGAATGTTCCAGGGGTATGAGGCCAGAGTGGTTCATGAAATCTGTTGCTTATCTCTTGCTCATTCCATGGTGTAGATGGCTCTTGATGCCTATAGTCAAGCGGGCGTATAACGCTTTGTTTGGTAAGGAATGTTTGGAGGCAGAATATAACTTAATAATAATGTACCATGGTAAGATAAGTAAGTGCCAGGAATTTAATCCCCTAATGGATTGTATGGTTGAGTAGTAGAGCACATGATTGTGAACCTGAATGTTTCCAGTTTCATTCCTGAGTCAGTAGCACATTCCTAAATACACTCAGCTCTTGTTGAGTTTCTGGCTCGCATCAGGGAAAGTAAGGACAATGGTATGTTAATCCTGTTACTGTTACATACAGTGGTATTAGAAACAGATCAACTGTACTTAATCCTTGGGTCTGGAAGGGTGGGGTAGGAGTAGACTTTACCCTTTTTGTTTATGAAACTTCCCTTGTTAATTGACAAAAAATTGGTTTAAATAATTGAAGTAATTGATCAAATATAATTTATGCATGAGGTTCTGATTTCATCTAGATATAAGAGAGGTATCATTGGATAATGATGGGGCCCACTTGATTGCCTGCCAGCAGTATATCACACATCAACAATATGAAAGGGTAGGTAACAAATGTTTTTCTGGTGAGTTTTATTACATAAAAACAGAAAATACAATACACCAAATAGGTTTCTATTTTTCTTCAAACTTTATTAGCTAATTTATTAGGTCACTGGAAGCTCTTCATTAAGGCTAGGTTAAGTTACCCTGTCATCTGCACCGTAGCTTCCTTGGGGAGTCTCTCCTATTATATCCATTGGTGACCCATCTTTAATCTTGACTCTTATCACTTGACTTCATAAATTAGAAAATCTTTTCTTTCTTAGACGAGTTTTTTTTTTGTTTTTATCTAAGTTTTTGTAACTTTTTTTTTTACGGGGAAGGGTTGCTGGCCAATGTCCCAACCATCTTCCTCTCAAACATTCACAAAACAGCCTACAGCTGATTTGTGAAAATCTTGTATTCCTGCTATTAGTTTTTTTTTGTTTCTTTAAATCTTCCCTTTTGTTGTAGGTTCCCATCAACGCAAATAAGATCCGAGAGAAAAAAATTCCAATTGTTATGATGTACTCACTGAATGACAGACTTGTTGAGACTTCAATCTGTTCTGATATGGCTGATAAGTACCTACAAATCCCTAAGGAAAATAAAGTCATGTTTGCTGATGACAAAACATCAGACAAAGATCCATGCTTTGGTAATCATATTGGATATTTATATAGGGTTGTACTTGTTATGTTTAGGCTTTTCCGTTAGTCAGTACTACTTTTTAAAGTAAAAGTTCCTCTTTAGACCCAGCGATCCATTGGGCAGATGAATAGAGTTTATGTTTCTTGACATCAGCATGTGAAGGAGTAGTGTGGACGGCACTTTGCCAAGTTACCTTTACTTTCCCCAGCGTTAGTCAGATACCCATCAGAACTACAGTCAAACAATATTTAGGTTGAGGTTAAATAACTGATATGTCCATGTCTGGTACTACATAAGTACCCATTGTTATTTTAGGAAATATTGTTTGCCTTTTGAACATGATCCATAGGGCAGATGAAATAGTTTTCATCTGTTTTTTTACCACAGCATTATAGCATATGAAGTGATAGTGTGGTCAGCACTGTGACCTTTTTTCCCTAACATGAGACAGGTACCCATCAGGCCTTGCTGGACTCAGTGACCCCCTACAGACTTATGTCTGAGATTTGAACTTGAGATTTTCAAGTTAGTAGTCAAACCACTTGACCACACCGTCCCATATTTTATTTTAAAATTTACAATTTTTAGTTTAAGGTATCTTTTTTATATCATAAAAATATTTGTTCCATTTTCTGATCCGTACAGTTCCTAATGGCTGGTTCTCTAAAAGTTTGGTGTTTGCCAGAGGGGGACATATTGTTCATATAGCCCATGAAGCTGAGCTGGTGCAACAGATTGAACATGTTATAAAACAAGGATCCAAAAAAAGATGTTTCGCCACAAAGTAGTTCTAGAAAATACAAAAATTTAGTTATTTTTTTATAAAGGTTTTTGTTTATTTGCCAGAATTTGCCATTGTATTAAATTTTGTTTATAAAGAAATAATCTATAAATCAATCAAACATAATATTGATGATATTAATCATTTCAAAATCTTTATGGTTTTGTTTCCTAAAATTGAAAAACAAAAATGTAAATGAAGACTATTCTCTTAAATAAATACTCATCCAACATTGGCTTTTATTTTACATCAACAGAAGTTTATTGAGTTTATCAAATGGAAAACCAGCATAAGTCATTAAAAGAATTTGGTTAAAATGTATACATGTATTGCAAAAATTATAAGAACATAACAACCCTGTTTGTACATACTATACAAAAAATAATGTTATTTATTTATTTATTTAATCTACATCTGTGATATCCTGAACACTGCTTAATAAAACATTTGAATGTTTACATTTTTGTGTTGTTTTAATTCCAAATTCTGGTAGTAATTGGTCGGTTTATTCAATAATTTTCTGTGATGTTTTTAATTAACGTAAGCTTTAGACTGATGGTTTCAAGCATACAAGTTATGTTGATTACATCACAGATCACACAAATACATGTAGATTATGGGATGGCATGATTGAGTGTATTGCACACAATTACTATCCCAGTAGCCTCAAGTGTTGTTTCTATGCTTGAGTGCATCCAGCTCTAATGGTTACCTGATCTATTACCGCCTGTTTATATTTAACTTACCAGCATTATATTTACGAAACAGTTTATTTTAAATACCCATTATTATATGGCACTGGTTAGTGGTAAGCCTTATACTATTTTACAATTAAAAAAAAATATTAAGGGCTTGCAATTAACATTAGACACGCGTGTGGCGCTTACGGTTTTTTTTAAAGGCTATTAGTAAATAAATCAGAACTAGAGAAAGAGAGTTAATGTTATTCACAATAGCTGCGATGTTTTTAAAGGGAGGTAACAGATTAATATTTCAGTAAAAAAACTAAAACCTGGGTTATCTTTCTTGTTTTCTGTATACGGGGAGGGAGGATCGTCGTTCTGTCACCAGCAATACAGCAGCAGACGGTCACACACGAGACGGCGCGTCATTGACACAACTCGGTGACCCGACGGGGGGAGGGAAAAAGTGATGCTTGAATGGTAGTGTAGTCGGTGTAGTACTAGAGTCGGGGGGGTCGACACACCTGTTGGAGAAAAGATTCACTACCGTGTTCCCGCTTGACCCAACCTCGCCACGGCCTCAACAGATCGGTAAGTGTCTGTGTCACACACACCGTTCAACTACACTTGTGTATGTTTACGTAGGTTAGGCATGTGTTTTTTTCTTTACCTCCAGTGACGGCGCGTGTCTGTTCAAACACATTCAAGTAGGTTCTCTAGAGGTCTTAGGGACACATGTTGTCTGCACTGGTGCGTGTCGTCTGTGTGTGTGTGTGACACATTCTCAACACACTTCCCGTTTATCGACAACAGGATTTCCTATGTTATTTTTTAACTATTTCTTGTCTTAATAATAGCAGCACGTTTCGGAAGTATACAGGCCAACTATATAATAATTATATATAGAATCTAGATTCTAGGTCTTATTAGATATGTAATATTCGGATGTTCTCCTTTAAGTTTAAGCAAATATCCTACTTGGATTAATTCTAAAGGTAAGTTCTATCTAGTCAGTTAACCTACTTGACTACCTGTCGTTGTCACTTAGAGGCGCAGTGCTGTACCGTGCTATCTAACGTAATACCTACATACTACATAGGCTACAGTGCTATATGACGTTACTATGTGATAAAATATAGGCTTTAGGCTACTTCATAAAATTTAAGCCATGCATCAATCATGTATATCATTGTATATAGATTTACAATTGTACAAATAGATTCTAGGTATAACCCTAACCAGTGTTTGAAAATAATGTTTTTAAAATAACGTTTAGGCCTATGTCTATTAATTTAAACTAACACAGATTATTTAAGACTTGACGGATGACTTCCCTAAATTTTATTTTGAGATTATTTGTAATTTGAATTGACTTGCATGAGTATGACTGCTCATCGTGGCTATTCAGCTACTCTTATCATTTATATGGCAGATAAAATATAAATAGCCTAGATGCGTAAAGTTGTCGTATTTCTATATTTACGTTATAGCTTTAAAACAACCTAGTTATCCTGAAAGTTTACATCGGGGTGATTTTGACTTTTCCCCTATTAGGTATCAGTAAATGTTAGGTTTCTTTTTCATTATACTGACACTACATGCATCAAAAAGTCCCCAAAAATTGTCCAAAAGCCCCCAACCCCCCTCCATAAAATTTTAATTTTAACAAGTTTTGATATTTGATCATATTTTTTATTCGTTAGAAAATACAAAATAAATGCTATCTCACAACCCCCTCTTCCCCCGAACGAAATGGAATTTATATAGAAAACATATACTTTTATCAGTGTCCGCCCCCTTCCCCCCCCCCCCCCCCCCCCCCCGGAGAAAAAATTTCACGAAGAAACACCGTTCTTTAGTTAGTGCCATATCATGTAGTACTAGCAGAGTATCTTCCAGGCATCACTTCGGGGGGGCTTGCCCCCCCCCCCGAACGAAATGAAATTTATATAACTTATATAGAAAATATATACTTTTAACAGTGTCCGCCCCCCCCCCCCGAAGAAAGTCTACCGCCCCCCCCCCCCCCGGAGAAAAAAGTCTGGAAGAAACACTGAGTACTAGTGTATATCTACCACGTATAACAATATGAAAGTGTAAAACCACCTCGACCCCCTTCAATATTTTTGGCTTTTAAAATCATGCAACAATGGAACATCAAAGGATCTCAAACATAAAATCTAATTTTTGTCAAAAGTAGAAAACTGTGGTCTTCATACATATTTTAATTTAGGAATACTTCTCTTATCTGCAAATATGTAAGTTTATATACAGAGTTTCTTCCAGGCATCTCTTCGGGGGGGGGGAGGGAGGCTTAGCCCCTCCCCCCCCCCCCCCGAAAAATTTTTACCGCCCCCCCCCCCCCCGAACGAAATGAAATTTATATAATTTATATAGAAAATATATACTTTTAACAGTGTCCGCCCCCCCCCCCCCCGAAAATTTCAAGTGCCCCCCCCCCCCCCACCCGGAGAAAAAAGTATGGAAGAAACACTGTTTATATATAGTCCTACAAATACACCAAAAGCCTGTGTGTCCATTAGATTCTCTTTAAGATCATCCCGCTGTATTTCCTGTGTGTGATACGACCAATCATAACGACGATCTAAATATCTTTTTTTCAGTGATTCAAAAGGGGGACAAGCCAACCGTGACCGTAGGGCCGGAGTGAACTAACGCCACAGGATTTTACGCATCATTAAACATGGTGGATGTGTGTTTTCGTTAAAAAAAAGGATAACTAAAATTTTCAAGTCACGCAACGATGAGTTTATGGAGTCCTACACATGTACAGTTTACTGGTAAGTTGCTGATGTTTAGGCGCTTGGTAGTGATGGCGTAGGTGTAGGGCATAAGAGGGATGGTATTAGGAAGAAATACATATATACATTCACATATAAGATCTGCATACCCTTGCTTGCTACTTTTGTGTTGTAATGTTCAAATTACCTATAGGAGGACAGAAAAGACAGTACAAACTACAACACAATCGCATTCGTATATTTTGTAAAATAAATGTTAATTTCACTTAATGAAATATTTTTAAGAATTAATTAAAAACCTTTAGAATAACAAGCTTTTATCTATGCACTAAAAAGAAGAAAATAATATGCCTTTTTTAAACAAAACAATGAACCACTATCTGAATATGTTAGGCTAGGCTGTCGCCTCTTCTGGGAGGGACATACACCGCTGAAAATAGCTTTCCACGCATCTCTCTTCGGGGGATAGTCTCTCCAACTGTTCCCATGTGTATGCAATTAGAGTTTCTTCCAGGCATCTCTTCGGAGGGGGTGGGGGGAAAGGCTACCCCCCCCCCCCCCGGACGAAATGGAATTTATATAGAAAACATACTTTTACCAGTGTCCACCTCCGCCCCAGCCCCGGAAAATTTCCGCCCTTCCCCCGAAAATATCAAGTGCCAACCCCCCCCCCCCCCCCCCCCCATGTGTATGCAATTAGAGTTTCTTCCAGGCATCTCTTCGGAGGGGGTGGGGGGAAAGGCTACCCCCCCCCCCCCCCGGACGAAATGGAATTTATATAGAAAACATACTTTTACCAGTGTCCACCTCCGCCCCAGCCCCGGAAAATTTCCGCCCTTCCCCCGAAAATATCAAGTGCCAACCCCCCCCCCCCCCCCCGGGAGAAAAAAGTCTGTAAGAAACACTGTATGCAATCGGCTCACCATTTAAATAGCTGTAAAGAAAAACTATTTAAATAATTGTACAGAAAAGTGTGGGTCGTTCTCAAAGTTTTATTAAGGGAATAAAATCCAAATCGACATGAACGCGCCGTAGCAATAGCTGTAACCGTAGCTGTAGCTTAACAATAACATGGGCCCTTTTTAGGGCACTAGCACCGCCTTTGATACGGTGCTGAATGGTGGTATGTTTATATCGAGATTAGCTTCTCGGGAAAGTGTTGTGGACTTACTGATAGTAATATAGTATTGTAACTAGGTTTGTTTATCTGCGTGTGTAGTAACCATGGTGTAATTTAGGTTTACGGTCGGGATTATAAGATTAGTGTTGAGGTCAAGGTGGTGATTGGGGATAGCTTTAGGACAGAAATTGTAGAATAAAAAACAGCTTACCATACGCTGGACGGAGTGGCCTACCATTAGAGAGCTAGGCTGCTAACCCCAGAGTCTCGAGTTCGAATCCGGGTCCAAGTCAATAGAACGTCCCTTAGTCCACCCAGCTCTGATGGGTACCTAACTCACGTTAGGGAAGTTAAAGGCGGCTGGGCATAGTGCTGACCCTACTATCCCTTCATATGCCGAGGTCACCGAAACAGATAAAAACTCTACTTCACCTGCCCCGTAGACCCTTAGGTCCTTAGGTTTGAAGCGGAAAGGTGATTCTTTATATATGCCAGATTTAGCTTTTTATGTTGTCACTTTGTATGGTAATTTGGCATGGAGTTTAATCAGCTCTGTGTACAGCACTAAAGAGATTAAGTCCAGTCGTAATCAATTTTTTATGCTGTTAATTTGAATTCATGCATGCATAATCTAACACACATGCTGTAGTGGGTTGTTTATAGTGTAGTTGTATTGTGTTGTACGGTGTATTAGGTCTATATTGAGCTATAACATTGCATTTGATCGAAATTTCGGCTGTTTATATTGTTTGTGTGGATAAACTGATATATATGTAAAACTGGCTTTAAACACAATCTAAAGCTTTGCAATCGTTGCTAATGACGGTGTAAGAAGCTGTTTTGATGTGTATCCCTTAAATTGATTTCTGTAGTGCTAAATCGTGGAGGAATTAAGGAAGAAGAAATTACCAGACATCTTCACCGTTATCAGTGGGTGGTGGTCTATGTAAATGGTACATACTGTTCACTGAGTTATATAAAAAGTCAAACGACTGTGTGGTGTAATAATGTGTTCGCGATTTCTCGGTTGCTCAGCAAAGTCGTCAAAAAGATTATCGTCTTTTGCGGTTTCAGCTATTCCTTATTAAGTGATAAGCCCTAAAGTGTTGAAGATGTTCATTGATAGTTCTTAAAGTGTTTAATTTGTTTATGCTGTGTGATAGTTCTTATAGTGTAAAACGTGTTTGAACACTGTGATAGCACTAAAAAAGAGTATCGTTTTACTTAGAGTTAAGTTGTTCCATTCCAACATTGTTTCTCCAGTTAAACTGCTGGTAACAATGATACGTTTGTTTTAACTATAAGAGGCTAAACGCCACACATATGATTAGCATTGTTTCTTGTAATGTACTTCAGTAAAGGCATCGGTATTCGCAGTTCAGGGACGGCGTGGCCTAGAGGTAGAGCGCTAGACTGCTAATCCGAAAGTCTCAAGTCAGTAGAACGTCCCCGAGTCCACCCAGCTCTAATGGGTACCTAACTAACGTGTATAGTGCTGACCACACTATTCCCTTATTTACAGAGGTCACTGAAACAGATGCGCTCTACTTCATCTGCCCCATGTGTCTTGGGCACAAAGGATAAAAGGTACACAATTCAATAGATATTTCGTTGACAGCTTAACATTGAAATAAAGGCATTGTTGATAATATTTAATAATAGACATTATCTGTCCTAATAAATAGCCTGGTTAATAGATTTTCTATTGTAGATTATATATTTTTTTCTATTTCGTCCGGGGTGGTGGTGGGGGGGGGGGGTGTAGATGAGGGGGGGGGGTGACCAACTATGACGAGATACCTGAAAGAAACTCCTACAGCTGGTGTAAGCTTGTACGTAATCATTTTAATACGGCTCGATGTTATAATTTGAATAAATTACCCAGTGCTATTATTAATGTTGCGGCTAATTATTTTTATAATTAGCGTGGCCGTGAATAATCGTCAACCATGCGAACTAATAAATTAAATGCTGGTGAATATTTAATCTAATATAAACAGTTGATTGCTTCTATTGATACCTGATTATGGTTCTATTGTGGTTATACAAATAGTAGTATTGTGTTGAAGGTTTTATTCTCCACTTTATACCTACTTATACATGGAATCATTCATGAGTTGAGTATCCTTTGATCCAGTCTCAAATTTGAGGTGAGCGGTTCTCAAATGTGTGTCCTTTCTTGCTTCCTCCTTATTTAGACTTGAATTTTCCAATACACCCCCTTTTATCAAAATAGGCTTCCACCCCACCTCTGCCCACCCCCCCCCAACCCCCATACATATTATCTTAATAAAAATCCAATATATGATGACCTATACATAAAGGTGTGAACCTCACTATAATAAACATAATTTTCCACAAATGTGTGGGTCACCTTGTCACGAGTCTTTTCATACACTTAAAGGGGAGTGAGGTCTGTGAAAATAGACGTGATTAATGTCCGCTAATTTGTCCTAATTGTTCATTAAACTTTTATTGTTAAAATAACAATTGACAATATCTGTCTTTTTTTTTGTAAGGGGAGAGTACTACAAATTACTTTGTACTAAAAAAATTGCCGTATATTTTTTTTTATAAAGGGACATAATACAGGTAGGAGCGTGTGTGATTTTAGTTTAGTACAAAGATTAAAGCGACACAAACGGCATAAATTAGCGAACAAAGAGGCGGCGTTGTTTTATGTTACAATTATAATACTTTGATTTGGTTCGCTTTGTGAAGGTAGCAGACGCCAGGCGCCATCATAGTAATTGATTTGACATGCTTGTCTTGTTGGGGTCAACTTTACCTACGGCGGTGGTCGGTTTTTTTTAGGTCATGGGGTCAAATTTGCATGCTGGGATTGTTGGGAAAATGCTGGTTGTTGAACATGTGGGTTTTTTTTAAGCGGGTGGCATTTGGGGTGGATTTTTTCGGTGACATTTTAAAAAGATTATAGTGCTAAAGGCATGACATGTAATGGAGATATGTTTAAAGGTTGTTACAAGGGAGTTTGTGCGTGTTAAAATTGGGGATGGGTTAGCATTGAAAAGAGAATTCTAATAGACTACGAATTTGAGTTTAGATGTAGAATTGCCTATGTTTTTATTAGTATATTGTGTAATTGTTATTTCTTCATATTTTCATGCCCAAAACACATCGGGCAGATAAAGAAGAGTTCGTCTGCTTCGATAACCTCGGCATACATGGTGTCAGCACTATGCCCAGCCGCCTTAGTTTCCCTATCGTGAGTCAGGTACCCATCAGAGCTGGGTTGGCTCAGAGACGCCCTACAGACTCGAGCCCGATAATTGTAGGCTAGATATGTTTTAATAATTGTACTACGAATGTGGTTGATTGTAAGTCCCCTAACCAAATACAAGTTTAAAGAGTTAGTGATTAGGAGTCCAGTTTAGTCGCCCCGAGTAGAACTGGTCAAATTTAAAACTCCCATGGGTTAGGGACCCCGTCCCTCGGGCTGTTGTGAGGTCAGGCAGGGGGGGGGGGGTGATTAGGGTGAGGCTGAGGTCGGGAGAATGAAAATGTATACCTAAACATCGACGCAAACGGCAAAGCGTCTGTTATACCACGTATGGAAAATGTGCAAAACCAGTACAGCTTGATATATTTGCAGAAAGTATTCCTAAATAATAATTCTTATTCTAAGTATTATCCTAACACTCGATATAATCTTAATCGATAATATAGAACCGAATCCTAGAAGACTAGTCCCAGTATGATAAGGAATTCTCAAAAAATAAAAATCGCTTCGTTGGGTAATAGAAAATACATTCTCTTTTATGTTGTCAGTTGTCTCCTAAGTTTTTCTTACCATGGCCTACACACTATTTTATTCTAACCCCCAACACACCCGCGTCGACCTCCGTTGTCTATTTTACCTAATCTTTTGACGTCAGTGTACACTACCTGACACAAACCC